AGTTCATGAGTAGCTAAGAATGGGTTAGTGATGATGTGGCCCTACAGTCACAATATAATTATACATTAACATATCATGAGTTCATCATGGTTAAATTAAGCATAACTAATGTGGTAGTTAATACATTAATAGGCCTTTTTCACACTTCCTGGTTCCAGTAAGCGAAACAGCGTACCACAACATCCGGTTTCACTGCGACGGAGTTGGAAAGAATGGCAGGGTCATCTCATTGCTGTAATTGCCGCGTTCCCGGCTGCTCCAACTCAAGAAAATGACACCCTTACTTTAATTACCACGATTTCCCGAAAGACAAAGGCCAGAGAAAATCATGGATGAAATTATTAGAGGGGTTAAATGTTGTTTCAAGTTATATGTGGGAGTATGTTCCTATGCTCTTCAAAGCGGAGATTATCATGTTTTATCAAAGACTGGTGGTCTTAGTTTTATTTTGATGAGTAATTATAATATGGACAAAACTCCAGTTGAGCTATCTGCCTTCCACAAACAAGTGCTCATCATGGTCATTCATCTTTAAGCATGATTTCTCCCCACCTTTGATTTGGTTTATTTTGGCATAATAGACAGTTCATACAAACACAAATCTCTTTTTTTAATTGGTTTGACAACAAACTTATTTGTTTAGTCAGTTATATAATAAAGATGGTATACTTTTCTTACAATAAAGTCCTTTCTTATTAAAAAATCTCATTAACGCAGCAAGTTTTCGACTATTATTGGTTCAATTCCTGCAGAGACATGTTATTCATTCATGTTATTTAGAGGTATTAATAACACCATCCTTCTGATGCATCATCTTTTGATATTGCTAAATTTGGCAAATTTTGTTTTACAGTAAATACCAAGACTAATTATAGAGCTACTCTTTTCCAAAAAGAAATCATTACTGTACCTTATATGCAATTTTATTGGATGTCTTTATTAAAGGGTGAACTGAAAAAAAATGTGGCTGTTACCACAGAGATATCATGTTAGCAATAGAATTAAAGAAATATCCTATAAACTTATCCACATGTTTTATCCAGCAAAACATTGTTTGCAAAAATTTAAAAGTGGGATCGATGTAAATTGTATTTTTGTAACAAATATGAGGAGACGGTTTTACATTTATTTTGGCATTGAACATAGTCAGCTTATGGAGTGAGGTGCAAAAATGTATTAATAACAATTTTTTTGTGTTCAAAACCTCTTTCATCATCGAGCGGATTTGTTACAAACCCCTGATGTTTGTCTTGGGGATGGTGGGGTTTGACATTTGATTAATTAAAATATATTTATATAAACAGTGAATGAGTGGAAAGACAACCAAAGTAATGCCAAAAGTATATGCTTTTATTTACAATTCCCAAAAGTGAACAACAACCACAAATTAATCAAAAAAAGACAGAAAAAGTAAGGCAAAAATATTTACAATATATATATATATATATATATATATATATATATATATATATATATATATATATATATATATATATACATATATATGTATACATATATATATATATTTACAATATGTACAACACTGAGACAAATAAAGACGGGAAAAACAAGAGAGCTGGCAGAAGGGACGCGGGCGGCGCTAAAGAAATGAAAAGAACAAAACCCAAACTAAATCTAACTTCCCAGAAGCATCTAGCTTACTAACTATGTGAAAACAGTATAATTAACACGCAAAGATCTTCCGAGTCCTAACTATCTACTCTATCTATCTATCCAAAAAGTACAAGGAGTGGCGCTCGCCCCTAACCTAGTGTCCTAGACAGCAGAGCAGTCCTAAGTGTTGCAATGTATGTCACGTGACCTTCTTACCTGTTCGCTTCTTCCAAGCCTTGTAAAAAACGATAAACTAAGAATGATGTACGAATAACGGACGGATAACGTGCACACAGAAACGAGCAACAACAAAATACACACTTTAACAGGGTTTTCTAAACGCATGTGATAAATACAAACAAGCGGAAAAGCAGAGACAGAGAAAAAGTGCAAGGGCCTCGCGAGTGGTCTGACGCAGGCTTTTATGATGGGTAGTCTTAGCTTATTGGATGTGACGTAAGAGTGACGTTACTGCGGAGGAATGACTAACAACTGAATGGACCAATGAACGGAACCTGAGAATACATGAAAGCAGATATGGGAGAACAGAGCGAGAGTGAGAGAGAGAGAGAGAGAGAGAGAGAGGGAGGGGGGGGGGGGGGGGTCAGAGAAACAGAGCACAAATAACACAAATACATAACAGCGGGTCAAATCTGCTTTATTTGCGCGACAAATTCACTTCAGAAAAGACATGGATTCGCGTGATGGGCAGGGTTTTTGTCTGCTCGGTAACTCCAGCTTCATAGCTAAATGGCTAACATGGATTTTATGAAGAAAATAACTGTGTTTATGTGCTTTATGAAGACTGAAAAACAGCGTTGATACGTTTAGGGCCATGTCTGAGTCCACTAGATCCTTTCAGAGGTGCATCCAGAGCCGGCCCAAGGCATAAGCGAACTAAGCGGCTGCTTAGGCCCCCGTGGCCACCAGGGAGCCCGCAAGAGTGCTTGAAATTATTGTGACTTTCGTTTTACTTTGTTGTGGATTTGTGGTGGGACAAAATATATGCCCATTTATAGTGTTATTTCTGACCACGATACATACTCAGGCGCCAAAATATTTACCTAAATTTAAAAAAGATCTGATTTAATTAATCAGTTTTCCACACTGAGTGCAGCAGATAACCGCCTTAGCTACAGTACACCCAGCCGCCACCAGGTGGCTTCCCGTAATGGCGGATCATTAGACATACACCAGTGTCATGTAAACCACTGAGTTTGACAGATGAGCTATTGCAATGGTGAATATCTCAGGCATACAGACACTTTCTTCTGTCCAAGCTGGGCCAATGTATTTGTGTGTTTCAGACATCCAGCTCCCCAGAATTTGTCTCTAGTTTCTTTCTAACAGACGCGCTTTCATTTCGCTATATCGCTCGCGCGTGCCCGCGGCTAGTGCAACTTCTTATGTGCTCAAACTTTTATTTTTAAATTTTTATGAAAAATAAACCAGGGCTAAGCTTAAAATGTTTCCATGTTTACATAAAATTAGTTGGTCAAGTTGTAATAAGTGTTTACAGAAAATTAGAAAGCAATAAATTACTTTTTGGCAGTTTTTTTCTTAAATGCATATTCCACTAAATTGAGATTTTGCTGCTGTGATAGAGATGTGCTCTCTTCAGTCATAAACTGCTCTCTGCACATCAGCATTTTAAGCTTGTTTTACATTACTGCAATTCTGTAAATGCGTGTTTATAAAAGAAATTCATCATACATTTTTGATGCATTTTCCCCCTTCATTTACCATAATTGTGATAAATTGTGGCTGGTTTTCTTGTGATCTATCAATATATTGCAGAATCACTGATATCGTGATTGAAGCAGCAGTGCCCGGAACAGCAGCAAAATGCTTTTTCATGAACTTGGTGATAAAAATTAAGCTTCTGATTTATACAATTGACAGTTGGTAAATACACTGCAAAAGTGATTTTCTTTCTTATAGTTTTTGTGTAATTTTTAGTCCAAATATCTAAAACTTCTTAAACCAATAAACAATTTCTAGAAGGATTTTTAGTCAAAATGATGTGAATTTTTCATTAAAAAAGCTCAATAATCTGCCAATTAGGGTAAATAAAAAATATTGTTTTAGGTTTTAAATAAGATTATTTTAGTGATCTCATTGGCAGATTAATTTGTTTTACAAAAAAAAATCACTTAATTTAGAATTATTTCTGAAAACTGAACAATTTTTGAACAATTTTGAACAATTTTTGTTATTGGCTACTTTCAGCTGTTTTTGTTTCTGTCAGCCCATTTTAATGTTTTGTGTCTAATTATTTAGATTTGTGGTAAGTAGTCATATAAAAGTTGGATCAATAGGAAGTTGTTTCTGCAGAATAATATTTAGAATTGTCTTAAAACATATATTTTATGATGTAAGCAACACAGCTACAGCAAAAAAAAATCGATAATGTGTGTTTTAAATTTTTAGTGTGCGCAGGGCCGGCATGTCCATAGAGGCGACCTAGGCGGCTGCCTAGGGCGCCAGTATAGAGAGGGCGGCGTCCGCAACACCCCCCTACCACCCGCGTCCTCAGTTATGTCCGCGACACCTCCCTCACCACCCGCGTCCTCAAACATATTCGCGCATAGACGACAGAATAGAGGGGGTGGCATCAGCGACACCTCCCTCTCTCCATCAGCACCCTTGTGTCCTCAGTTATATCCGCGCATAGAGCGGCAGAATAGAGAGAGCAGCGTCAGCGACACCACCCTACCTCCCTCCCTCAGCACTCGCGCGTCCTCAGTTATATCCGCGCATAGGGCGGCAGAATAAAGGTCCGCGACACCTCATTTCATTTTCATAACCGGTCACTTTCGTTTTCACATTAGGGTTGAGGGCTGCGTGATCGTCCTCTGCCTAGAGCGCCAGTTCAGCTTGCTCCGGCCCTGAGTGTGCGAAGGATTATCAAGGATTGGCGATAATTTGTCATATTGTTTGCACCAAGGGGGCCCCAAATAAAATCCTGCTTAGGGTCCCCTGAAGGCTTGGGCTTGGGAAATGTGCAAAACGCTAAAATCGCGCCACGCCGTTCGCACAATTCACGACATTCACGCCGCGCCATTCGCACGTATCGGGCCGCAGGATGTCTACACATGCGTTTGCATTGTACTACTCATTGTACTACTCATACTTAACATGTAAATCACTCGCGCTTCACGCACGTTCCACATCTGGTGTGAACGCAGCATTAGACTGTGGGAAGTGTTTCAGGTGAAGTTTGTTTGTTTGTTTGTTTTGTTAGTCATGTGTTTATGACGTGTTGTACATGTGTTTGATTTATGTACTTCTTACATACCCTATCGAAAATGAGATTGTTCATGTCAAGGGGTTATCTCATTCAATATATACATTCAGATTTCCTTTGATCATGAGCAGCACATTAGTTAAAAAAATATTACCCCACTCTCCCCTTTGTGTACTTTAGATGAGTTTTTCTCCCCCATGGACTTGAAAAACTGGTCTGAAAGCAGACAGTATTGCAGAGACCGCGGTGAGGATCTGCTCATCATTAAGAGTGAAGAGAAGCAGGTGAGTTTGTAAGAAAAATAAACATCATATTGTCGTGTTTCTATACCACCTGAATAGACAGATCTCCTATACTATATATTACCACATTTACCAGGCTAATATAATGTGTTTTCATTGTCAGGGGTTTGCCCTTTGTTAGTTTAGCTTTTCCTGCCACAAAACATAAAAACTACAGTCACAAAATTTTTCTAAACCAGTGGTCCCCAACCTTTTTTTAACTGCAGACCGTTCAACGCTTGACAATTTTACTGCGGACTGGGGGGTTGAAATAATAATAATAATAATAATAATAATAATAATAATAAACCTGAATCCACTGTGTACTCATATGGATCTTTATTAGCACATTGCTCCAACATTACAATGCTATTATAACATTAAGAAGTAGTTAATGTCATTAACCCATTGCTCCAACAATATAACATATTATAACATCAAAAACTGTCCGTAACTCTAAATCAGTGGAAGCCCTGAGCTTGTTTCTTTGCAACGAGATGGTCCCATCTGGGGGTAATGGCAGTCAAAAGCCCCTTTCACACATACAGACCTTTCCGGAAAATGACCGGCAATTATCCGGAAAGGTGTGTATGTGTGAACAGGGCCTTTTTAAAAATACCGGTAAATTCGTTCTGGCTATTTATTTTCCGGAAAGAGAAGTTGTAACATTACCGAAAATTTGCGGGAATGCTGCGCTGTGTGAACACAGAAGGAAGATTGCCAGAAAGAGCGCGTGCACGTCAAGAACATGCTGACGTGAGACGTCTACTTTAGCCAATCAGAACAGTCAGATGCATTCACGCCCGCGCGGTTTATGAGAATAAAAGCCTTAGAATATTTCCCAGACACATTTAGCAGCTAGAAATTAGTCAAATCACGTTTATATGTTCATCTTAATGCCAACCATGTAAATAATAATCGATAAGATGCTTATTGTAGCATTTCCAGCTGAACAGATTCACTTTACTCTCAGGGACTGATGTTTATAAAGTTTTGATCTTCAAAATAAATCATCGTAAGAGCTGAATAAAAGAAACAAAGAAACAAATAATATTCATTACACATATCATTGAAATGGCGTAGCATATAAATGTAATTAACTTTATAGGGATAAGTCTAAATAATTTGAATTGCTATAACACTAACAATGGCAATATTTAATGCAGATAAAGCATTTATGACCTTATAAATTACAACAATTAGACTCTAATATAAACAGCTTTAACAATTATTAGTTTTAGCTCAATTAGTGATGTTATTTTTAGAAAGATAAATCTAAAACACATAAAATTACCAAAATAAAGACCTTAATTGCTGTTAATGTCCCATTTGTAGTGCAAATTATAAGTAAATAGTAATAAAAAAATAAATGACATGCCTTTTCTACAAAACTAACAAATAATATCGATAACACTGAAACATAAAATCCTTATATATGTGCTAACAACAATTAAATGCTAACCAAAAGACCGTTAACAACTATAAACTTTTAAAATAAACAGTCTTTTTAAATTTCACTGATTAACATATCAACAATACCTTGTGCCCTTCATCAGACAGGAGCTAAAACTCAGAAAAACCTTTTTGACTGCCTTTACGGTAGTCTTAACAGAGAGCACTCCAAAGTCCTTTCCTTTTTTAGCGCTAAACATTTCACCCATAACTTCTTCAATGTGCACACTATGGTCTGATTTAAAACAACATCCACCCTCTACTGGATGGAGACAGAAGTGTCCGTGATTGAACAATTTAAAGGTCATCTACACTTATGATAAGCCGTTGTTCGTTTACCTTCAAGCTTTGTGTGTGCCCGTGAAACAGCTCGTGAGCGCCTGCACACACACATCATGCAAGTCCAATATGCCTCTGATCACATGCCGTCCCCACAAATCCAGCTTTGCTTTAAATGCAGCTACCTTTTATGTCATCTTAAAGATAATTAATTCTTGTGCGGCCTGGTTCTAATTGATCCACGAGCCGATACCGGTCCACAGCCCGGGGGTTGGGGACCACTGTTCTAAACTGTAGTAGTCTTTTAAGTCTTTAATTAAAGACAAAAGTGGCAGTAATGAAAACAGCTGATGTACTACACACTAAACTGCGCATTATTCAGACAAGAGATGTAGACAAACAGTCTAAAACACAACAGACACTAAAACAGCTGATGGAGTATACACTAACCTGTGCATTATTCAGACACTAGATAGAGGCAAACAGTCTAAAACACAACAGAAACTAAAACAGCTGATGGAGTATACACTAACCTGTGCATTATTCAGACACTAGATAGAGGCAAACAGTCTAAAACACAACAGAAACTAAAACAGCTGATGGAGTATACACTAACCTGTGCATTATTCAGACACTAGATAGAGGCAAACAGTCTAAAACACAACAGAAACTAAAACAGCTGATGGAGTATACACTAACCTGTGCATTATTCAGACACTAGATAGAGGCAAACAGTCTAAAACACAACAGAAACTAAAACAGCTGATGGAGTATACACTAACCTGTGCATTATTCAGTCACTAGATAGAGGCAAACAGTCTAAAACACAACAGAAACTAAAACAGCTGATGGAGTATACACTAACCTGTGCATTATTCAGTCACTAGATAGAGGCAAACAGTCTAAAACACAACAGAAACTAAAACAGCTGATGGAGTATACACTAACCTGTACATTATTCAGACACTAGATGGAGACAAACAGTCAAAAACACAACAGAAACTAAAACAGCTGGTGGAGTATACACTAACCTGCGCATTATTCAGACACTAGATGGAGACAAACAGTCAAAAACACAACAGAAACTAAAACAGCTGATGGAGTATACACTAACCTGGGCATTATTCAGACACTAGATGAAGGCAAACAGACAAAAACACAACAGAAACTAAAACAGCTGATGGAGTATACACTAACCTGCACATTATTCACACACTAGATGAAGGCAAACAGTCAAAAACACAACAGAAACTAAAACAGCTGATGGAGTATACACTAACCTGCGAATTATTCACAGACTAGATGAAGGCAAACAGTCAAAAACACAACAGAAACTAAAACAGCTGGTGGAGTATACACTAACCTGCGCATTATTCAGACACTAGATGAACACAAACAGTCAAAAACACAACAGAAACTAAAACAGCTGATGGAGTATACACTAACCTGCACATTATTCACACACTAGATGAAGGCAAACAGTCAAAAACTCAACAGAAACTAAAACAGCTGATGGAGTATACACTAACCTGCACATTATTCAGACACTAGATGGAGACAAACAGTCAAAAACACAACAGAAACTAAAACAGCTGATGGAGTATACACTAACCTGCGCATTATTCAGACACTAGATGAAGGCAAACAGTCAAAAACTCAACAGAAATTAAAACAGCTGATGGAGTATAAACTAACCTGCGCATTATTCAGACACTAGATGAAGGCAAACAGTCAAAAACTCAACAGAAACTAAAACAGCTGATGGAGTATACACTAACCTGTGCATTATTCACACACTAGATGAAGACAAACAGTCAAAAACACAACAGAAACTAAAACAGCTGATGGAGTATACACTAACCTGAGCATTATTCAGACACTAGATGAAGGCAAACAGTCAAAAACACAACAGAAACTAAAACAGCTGATGGAGTATACACTAACCTGTGCATTATTCAGACACTAGATGGAGGCAAACAGTCTAAAACACAACAGAAACTAAAACAGCTGATGGAGTATACACTAACCTGTGCATTATTCAGACACTAGATAGAGGCAAACAGTCTAAAACACAACAGAAACTAAAACAGCTGATGGAGTATACACTAACCTGTGCATTATTCAGACACTAGATAGAGGCAAACAGTCTAAAACACAACAGAAACTAAAACAGCTGATGGAGTATACACTAACCTGTGCATTATTCAGACACTAGATGAAGGCAAACAGTCAAAAACACAACAGAAACTAAAACAGCTGGTGGAGTATACACTAACCTGCGCATTATTCAGACACTAGATGAACACAAACAGTCAAAAACACAACAGAAACTAAAACAGCTGATGGAGTATACACTAACCTGCACATTATTCACACACTAGATGAAGGCAAACAGTCAAAAACTCAACAGAAACTAAAACAGCTGATGGAGTATACACTAACCTGCACATTATTCAGACACTAGATGGAGACAAACAGTCAAAAACACAACAGAAACTAAAACAGCTGATGGAGTATAAACTAACCTGCGCATTATTCAGACACTAGATGAAGGCAAACAGTCAAAAACTCAACAGAAACTAAAACAGCTGATGGAGTATACACTAACCTGTGCATTATTCACACACTAGATGAAGACAAACAGTCAAAAACACAACAGAAACTAAAACAGCTGATGGAGTATACACTAACCTGAGCATTATTCAGACACTAGATGAAGGCAAACAGTCAAAAACTCAACAGAAACTAAAGCAGCTGATGGAGTATACACTAACCTGCGCATTATTCAGACACTAGATGAACACAAACAGTCAAAAACACAACAGAAACTAAAACAGCTGATGGAGTATACACTAACCTGCACATTATTCACACACTAGATGAAGGCAAACAGTCAAAAACACAACAGAAACTAAAACAGCTGATGGAGTATACACTAACCTGCGCATTATTCAGACACTAGATGAAGGCAAACAGTCAAAAACACAACAGAAACTAAAAAAGCTGATGGAGTATACACTAACCTGCGCATTATTCAGACACAAGATGGAGACAGTCAAAAACACAACAGAAACTAAAACAGCTGATGGAGTATACACTAGCCTGCTCATTATTCAGACACTAGATGAAGGCAAACAGTCAAAAACACAACAGAAACTAAAACAGCTGATGGAGTATACACTAACCTGTGCATTATTCAGACACTAGATAGAGGCAAACAGTCAAAAACACAACAGAAACTAAAACAGCTGATGGAGTATACACTAACCTGTGCATTATTCAGACACTAGATAGAGGCAAACAGTCTAAAACACAACAGAAACTAAAACAGCTGATGGAGTATACACTAACCTGTGCATTATTCACACACTAGATGGAGACAAACAGTCAAAAACACAACAGAAACTAAAACAGCTGATGGAGTATACACTAACCTGTGCATTATTCACACACTAGATGAAGGCAAACAGTCAAAAACACAACAGAAACTAAAACAGCTGATGGAGTATACACTAACCTGCACATTATTCACACACTAGATGAAGGCAAACAGTCAAAAACACAACAGAAACTAAAACAGCTGATGGAGTATACACTAACCTGCACATTATTCAGACACTAGATGGAGACAAACAGTCAAAAACACAACAGTAACTAAAACAGCTGATGGAGTATACACTAACCTGCGCATTATTCAGACACTAGATGAACACAAACAGTCAAAAACACAACAGAAACTAAAACAGCTGATGGAGTATACACTAACCTGCACATTATTCACACACTAGATGAAGGCAAACAGTCAAAAACTCAACAGAAACTAAAACAGCTGATGGAGTATACACTAACCTGCACATTATTCAGACACTAGATGGAGACAAACAGTCAAAAACACAACAGAAACTAAAACAGCTGATGGAGTATACACTAACCTGCGCATTATTCAGACACTAGATGGAGACAAACAGTCAAAAACTCAACAGAAATTAAAACAGCTGATGGAGTATACACTAACCTGCGCATTATTCAGACACTAGATGAAGGCAAACAGTCAAAAACTCAACAGAAACTAAAACAGCTGATGGAGTATACACTAACCTGCACATTATTCAGACACTAGATGAAGGCAAACAGTCAAAAACTCAACAGAAACTAAAACAGCTGATGGAGTATACACTAACCTGCACATTATTCACACACTAGATGAAGGCAAACAGTCAAAAACACAACAGAAACTAAAACAGCTGATGGAGTATACACTAACCTGCGCATTATTCAGACACTAGATGAAGGCAAACAGTCAAAAACTCAACAGAAACTAAAGCAGCTGATGGAGTATACACTAACCTGCGCATTATTCAGACACTAGATGAACACAAACAGTCAAAAACACAACAGAAACTAAAACAGCTGATGGAGTATAAACTAACCTGCGCATTATTCAGACACAAGATGGAGACAGTCAAAAACTCAACAGAAACTAAAACAGCTGATGGAGTATAAACTAACCTGCGCATTATTCAGACACAAGATGGAGACAGTCAAAAACACAACAGAAACTAAAACAGCTGATGGAGTATACACTAGCCTGCTCATTATTCAGACACTAGATGAAGGCAAACAGTCAAAAACACAACAGAAACTAAAACAGCTGATGGAGTATACACTAACCTGCACATTATTCACACACTAGATGAACACAAACAGTCAAAAACACAACAGAAACTAAAACAGCTGATGGAGTATACACTAACCTGCACATTATTCAGACACTAGATGAACACAAACAGTCAAAAACACAACAGAAACTAAAACAGCTGATGGATGATACACTAACCTGCACATTATTCACACACTAGATGGAGACAAACAGTCAAAAACTCAACAGAAACTAAAACAGCTGATGGAGTATACACTAACCTGCACATTATTCACACACTAGATGAACACAAACAGTCAAAAACACAACAGAAACTAAAACAGCTGATGGAGTATACACTAACCTGCGCATTATTCACACACTAGATGAAGGCAAACAGTCAAAAACTCAACAGAAACTAAAACAGCTGATGGAGTATACACTAACCTGCACATTATTCACACACTAGATGAAGGCAAACAGTCAAAAACACAACAGAAACTAAAACAGCTGATGGAGTATACACTAACCTGCACATTATTCAGACACTAGATGAAGGCAAACAGTCAAAAACTCAACAGAAACTAAAGCAGCTGATGGAGTATACACTAACCTGCGCATTATTCAGACACAAGATGGAGACAGTCAAAAACACAACAGAAACTAAAACAGCTGATGGAGTATACACTAGCCTGCTCATTATTCAGACACTAGATGAAGGCAAACAGTCAAAAACACAACAGAAACTAAAACAGCTGATGGAGTATACACTAACCTGAGCATTATTCAGACACTAGATAGAGGCAAACAGTCTAAAACACAACAGAAACTAAAACAGCTGATGGAGTATACACTAACCTGCACATTATTCAGACACTAGATGGAGACAAACAGTCAAAAACACAACAGAAACTAAAACAGCTGATGGAGTATACACTAACCTGCACATTATTCACACACTAGATGAAGGCAAACAGTCAAAAACACAACAGAAACTAAAACAGCTGATGGAGTATACACTAACCTGCACATTATTCACACACTAGATGAAGGCAAACAGTCAAAAACACAACAGAAACTAAAACAGCTGATGGAGTATACACTAACCTGCACATTACTCAGACACTAGATGGAGACAAACAGTCACAAACAAAAAGCAGACAGAAGTCTCTGGTGCATGAAAGACAATAATAGTACTCCTGATTTTACTCACACAGAGACGTGTAACCTCATTCATCACAGAGAAGGTGAAAATGCCTGTGTGGCTGGGGTTGACTGATGCCGAGATCGAGGGCAACATGACATGGGTGGATAATTCACCACTGAATGAAGGGTAAGTGCTGGTAGGACATTTTATTCCACGTTAATAAGTAAAATAATTGTTTGAAAGATTCAGTATTTTAGCTGCATTTACTGTTTATATGTGCTATAGAGATGAAGCACATCTGCTGGTACAATAGTGCAACTGCAACAAGTATAACAGACAGTGAAACCTGATATATTCATTACCTCATTCATTACAAATAATTAAGCGTGGTGTTAGATTAAATCAGTATCACTGGTTATGAATTTATATATTGAGCTCATGTGTGTTGCTACCACCTGCACTCTAAACTGCGAAAAACATCCAGAAATTAGCAGTTTTCCTTATATATGATATATGTTTATTCCTGCTTTTAAACTACATTATAGGATCTTGATCTTTTCTCCAACAACTTTTAACCTTGAAAAGTGTGAAAAAGTGACTTTTCTGAACATGTGTAAGTTTGCAATGCTATATTGTCTGGGTAGGTGTTGTACTCTCCCCGGCCACTTTATTAGGCACACCTCACTAGCACCGGGTCGGACCGCCTTTTTGTCTTCAGAACTGCCTTAATCCTTGGTGGCAGAGATTCAACAAGCTACTGGAAATATTCCTCAGAGATTTTGCTCCATATTGTCATGATAGCATCACACAGTTGCTGCAGATTTGTCGGCTGTACATCCATGATGCCAATCTCCCGTTCCACCCCATCCCAAAGCTGCTCTATTGGATCGAGCTCTGGTGACTGTGGAGGCCATTTGAGTACAGTGAACTCATTGTCATGTTCACCAGTCTGAGATGATTGAGCTTTATGACATGCTGCGTTATCCTGCTGGAAGTAATAATAATAATAATAATAATTGCTTACATTTATATAGCACTTTTCTGGGCACTCAAAGCGCTTTACACAATGGGGGGAATCTCCTCATCCACCACCAGTGTGCAGCATCCTTCTGGATGACGCGACGGCAGCCATTTTGCGCCAGACCGCACACCACACACCAGCTGATTGGTGGAGAGGAGACAGAGATGAAGCCAATTGGAATAAGGGGATGGTTAGGAGGCCATGATGGACAGAGGCCAGTGGGCAGATTTGGCCAGGATGTAGGAGTAGCAGGAGTAGGCATCAGAAGATGGAGACACTGTGCTCATAAAGGGATGGACATGGTCAGCAGCAATACTCAGGTAGGCTGTGGCGTTGATGCTCAATTGGTACTAATGGACCCAAAGAAAATCTCCCCCACACCATTATGCCACCACCACCAGCCTGAACCGCTGATACAAGGCAGGATGATCCATGCTTTCATGCTGTTGAGCCGATCATCCGAATCAGCAGAAATGGAGACTCATCAGAGCAGCAACGTTTCTCCAATCTTCTATTGTCCAGTTTTGGTGAGCCTGTGTGAATTGTAGCCTCAGTTTCCTGTTCTTAGCTGACAGGAGCGGCACCCGGTGTGCTCTTCTGCTGCTGTAGCCCATCCGCCTCAAGGTTGGACGTGTTGTGTGTTCAGAGATGCTCTTCTGCAGAGCTCGGTTGTAACGAGTGCTTATTTGAGTTACTGTTGCCTTTCTATCAGCTGAAACCAGTTTGGCCATTCTCCTCTGACCTCTGGCCTCATCAACAAGGCATTTGCGCCCACAGAACTGCCGCTCACTGGATATTTCCTCTTTGTCTTTGTGCGTGAAAATCTGCCATATCGCACTGCTACAAGTGTGATATTGTGTTTAAACAACAGTTGGACAACATAATTGTGTGTATAAAAAAGACAATCAAAGATAGAGAGTCTAAAATCCTTCAGTATGAGGAACTACTTTCTTCTGCCATTCATTCACATCTGCAGCTGACGTCAGAAAAGCAGAAGCTGCTGCTCATTCACCCACCAATGTCACTGTAGAACTAGTGTTGGAATGATTCTCTAGCATAAAGTGACAACGAAACAACTGATTTTGCTCACATTTTAAAATTATAAGACTGAACATTATGATAAGCCATCAGTCTACAGAGATTTAGCAGTATTTCTCTATTGCAATCAAGAGATCACAATAATTAAACCCTGAAAATGCCAAAGCAAATACTACTAAAATCACAACCAGACTAGGGTACAACATGAATATGGCATATACAGCACTACACCATACAAAAGAGAGAGATTGACTTAGAATGCCACTCACCTGTTCATTAATGATTTGATCAGCTGTCGTTTTCTCCCCTTATGACTTATTATGTGGTCTCTGTCGCCATCTTGTGGTGGAATGTCAACTGTCTTTGCCCTGCTCAGTGTGACAGGCTGATGGCCAATCAGATTCTGCTCATATCAAGCATTGATCTCCCAGTATGTATATCTTTGCTGAGTAAACATGTGGTATAGTCATCATTTTTCCATGACACTTTTGTTTTATTTGACAGTTTTACACATTTTACTCTACGACTTCCTGGTGTCAAGTCGATGTGTAGAATAGAAGTGTTCATCTTGATGGAAATAATTTTTATTTTTTATTTTCAGGTTTTGGATGAGAGGTGAGCCGACTAACAATGATGGAATTGAGGATTGTGTATTTATGAATGCAATATCTTCTCCGAACTGGAATGATGTCCCCTGCTCAATACTAGCACGCTTCATTTGTGAATGAAAGAGTTGTTCTTCATTCATTCATTCAATGTTGTCAGCTCAGTTCATCATATATACGCTGCTGTCTTGTCATTTATTTTGTAAGCTAATGCTAATAAAAAGGAGGCATGTCTATCCACATTCACTCTCTGGACTATTATTCCCTGAATCATTAATCCCTGATTTTATGAGCATTACTCCACATACTAGCGGTAGATCACGTTTAGTCTGTTTTAGGCTGTATTAGTGTGCACAGAGATAGTTTTTTACAGCAAAGATGTCATATGCCATTAGTAAAATAAAAATAAAAACAACAATACATGAGATGCTCTTACACCAGACTCAATGTTATCTGGATGCAGACTTGCACATGCAATCTTAGACATGCAGTCTCAGACACATGATCTCAATAGAGTTAGTGATGTCACTCTGAGGGGCTGGGTTATGCGTACTCATTAAAATCATTGCATGAAGTCTCAGCTTTCATCTGCGGTCTGCAGCCAGTGGCTCTATTCTCAATATAAGACGACTGACACAACATCAAGATGACACGCCTCTTCCTCACATCATACAGTAAGTACAGTGATTTCTGCTTCTTCATCATTGTTTTATTGTTCTTGAATAGAGCATTACTGCCATAATGGATCAGAGACTCACAACCTTACTCCCCAGACCTTTCTGCACTCACACATTAAGAAATAATTGATAATAATACGAACCTTTGGATATCGTATAAATTAAACCACATTCTGTCGTCTCCTCCTGGATTCTAAAGCTCTTTTAATGTTTACTGATGATCACCATTCATTAGCTTGGAAAGTGATTTGATGAGACGCCTTTCTTAAACAGCACCTATTATGCAGAGATTACTTTGATGCAGGTTTTAAACCCAGTAGTGTGTGTGTGTGTGTGTGTGTGTGTGTGTGTGTGTGTGTGTGTGTGTGTCAGGAGTGTGTGAGTATCTCCAGCAGCCTCTAATAGTAAAGATGAGTGAATTGTGTTTGTTATAATCAGACTTGATGCAGAAACACTTTGATTGGCATTCTCCCTTTGTACGAGTCATCAGAGAAGGAAAGCCCCGCCCACCAGTGTCCATCTCTCCATCTCATTAGCTTCTCCAGCAGCCCTGAGTGAGAAGCAGCTGTCTGTCCATTAGCCATTAGAGTGTTTGAGCTGCTGAAGATAATGTCAGCACAGACTAAGAGGATTATAGATGTGGAGGTTTAGATGAACAGTGACAGGAGCGACATAGACTGACAGAAGCATCAAGCACAAACTGACCAACAACATGCACAACTGACCTGCACTCACAACACACACACTGCTGTTTTACATCTGTCCCTATGGTGAAGCACAGGCGTTTGAAGCTCCGCCCTCTTCTGAAAAGAGCACAATCTCATTTGCATTTAAAGTGAGAGTCACAATTAGGATCAAAACCTGAAAGGGTCAGTTTGAGAGAGCTGGAGAACATTATCTGTAAGATAATCTCAGCACAAACACACTACATACTCATCAGACGCTCATTTTACCTCCTCTAAAAAAAACTTTTTAAAAAAAGTATAAGTATAATAGGTCTCCTTTAATATACATATATTTTGTGAGTGTAACTGCATCTGCTCATTGTGGTGTTTTTTGTGTTGCATGTTGTGTTGTGGCATGAAGTGGACACAATAAAGAGTGCAGTAGGAGACCGTGTGACTCTAAACACTGATCTCACTGAACTGGAGGCAGATGCTAAGGTATTGTGGACTCATGGAGAAAACCACACGTGCATCGCTAAAATCAACAGATGCACCAGTAAGATGTCGGTGTATGAAGGGAACGACGTGAGATTCAGAGACCGACTGCAGCTGGATCCTCAGACTGGATCTCTGAGCATCTTTAACATCAGTACGGCTCATTCTGATGTTTATACGCTGCAGATCAGCAGCAGCAGCAAAGGGACCAAATCCAAGAGATTCGCCATTATTGCTGACGGTGAGCAGCGCATGTTTCCTGTCATCATCATAATGAATGGTTAGATCTGCAGATGTACAGTTTAGATGCTGTGACATTCACTCACCTGAAAGACAAACAGCAACTGCTAGTCTAATAGTGCTGTCAACAGCGTATTTACACAGTGTGTGTTAGACATTAGCCAGTGTATACTTCTTACTGTGAAATATTTTTAGTATAGTTTTTTTTTTACTTTTTAGAATGGAAACTGAGGAAAGTAGAAGGTATGAAGTCTGTTTAAAGCTGTTCAGTTAATGTGTTTTACATTTGACATCCCTTTACACTTGACTAGATAAATACAGTTAAATGTACATTCATTTATGTATAACATACTCTCCCCAAAACAGAACAGTGTATTTGTGAAAAGAGGGAAAAAAATAATGGATAAATATACTATTTTGGGTTTTTTTACAGAGATATGCTACAGATGCATAATCATCTCTGATATTTATCATTTTAATTTGATAATCTTACAATACAAACTAAAGCAAAACGAAACAATAAAAGGCATCTTGTGGTCATTGTCTGTTGATTACTGAATTAGCTCTGTTAAATCTGACGGTCATATCTTTCACACGTTTGTTTTATTTTATTATTTTATTGTGGATGGAGTAAAGTGTACATATGTGGTTTTAAAAAAACTACACTCCTTTAGACCTGTGCAGTTTCATCTCTAGTGCATCCTAGACCAGCTTCTGAAGGGGTCTGAGTGATCAGATATATATATATATATATATCCATCTCTAATGTGTTTCAGAGGGCATTTACAGCTCTGCTTTTCCCAATATGTGTATGTATCCCATCAGAAAAACTGCAGCTAATGTTGTTGAAATATCATCAACCCCTTATGAAGAGGCTATACATAAGCTGAAATGAAGCATGACGTGATCTTCTTCAGCTTTCACTCATCATCTTATTCTCTCTTGCATGTGTCGCTGTGACTTGAAGAAAACAAGGTGTGTGTGGCGGAGGGCGATCGAGCCATACTCAACCCTGATGTTGGTGAACTACCGACAGACGCTGTGATCCTGTGGCTGTTCGGCCCTGAGAATACTCTAATAGCTAAAGCTGATTTAGAAAGCGCTATTACATCTACATATGATGATGCTGATGGCAGATTCACTGACAGACTGGAGCTGGACCTTCACACTGCAGCTCTGAGCATCACCAACACCACAAACACACACTCTGGACTCTATAAACTCAAGATCATGAGCAGCAGAGAGACCCGATATCAGCAGTTCATAGTCAAAGTCTCTGGTGAGTGTGTTATTATTTGTTGTAGTATTATAAATAGTAGTATTTAGCAAAAGCATATTTTCTGATACATCCATGAGTCTTTTTGGGAAAGATGCAAGTATTTTACTCCTGAATTTGAGGATCCTTTGCCGTTCCTCTTTGCAGATCCTCTCCACTTCTGTCAGGTTGGATGGTAAATGTTGGTGGACAGCCATTTTAGGTCTTTCCAGAGATACTCAACTGTGTTTAAGTCAGGGCTTTGGCTGGGCCATTTAAGAACAGTCACAGAGTTGTTCTGAAGACACTCTTTATTTTAGCTGTTTGCTTAAGATCATTGTTTTGTTGGAAGGTTTTTATCCGGCATCCTTTACCTGGCCACATTAATCTTTCCCTTGATTTCAACCAGTTGTCCTGTCCCTGCAGCTGAAAAACACCTCCACATTATGATGCTGCCTCCACCATGCTTCAATCTTGGGCCTGTATTGGATAGTTGATGAGCAGTGCCTGCTTTTCTCCATACATACCACTTAGAATTAAGGCCAGAAAATTCTATCTTGGTCTCATCAGACCACAGAATCTTATTTCTCACCATCTTGGTGTCCTTCATGTGTTTTTTTTAGCCAAATCCACTGACAAGAGGCTTCCATCTGGCCATAAAGCCTAGGTTCCAGTGATGGTTGACTTTCTACAACTTTCTCCCATCTCCCGACTGTATCTCTGGAGCTTAGCCACAGTGATCTTTGGGTTCTTCTTTACCCCTCTCACCATGGCTCTTCTCCCCCAATAGCTCAGTTTGTCCAGACGGCCAGATCCAGGAAGGGTTCTGGTCCACATTTAAATCAAGTCATCTTTATTTCTGTAGAGCTTTATACAGTGTAGATTGTGTCAAAGCCACTTTACATGGATTAATACCCAATATAAGCTGAACTGAGCCAAAAAAAAAAAAACTTAAAGAATATTAATCTCAGATCAGATCATTTTGACTCTGTTTATATCAGTGTCGTCTTTATTGTGTATTTCGGATATACTGAATGTAGATGCAGCATCAGCGGTCATGTGTTTTAATCATCTGTTTGTTTTCCTAAAGGGAGCAGCGGAAAAGAGACAAACAACAGACATTCTGTGAATCATCACTCTGAAGATGAATCCTTGCTTTTATTGGCCACCACTGTCTGACAGCTTCATTTATAACTATAGATGATTCACAGCTGTATCTTATGTGACAATCCCAAGACTTCAGACTTCATTGGAGAATGTGTCAGATCCTGATTGAACGCCTGCATTTCAAACCATTAATTGGTTCAATGTTTAAATATGAGAATTGTTGTTGTTGTTGTTGTTGTTGTTATAGGAGCTAGGTTGGGTCACTGTGTGATTACTTAGGAGTTCTTATGTCAAAATGTGGTTGGAGTCAACTTTTGAGTTTGTTTTGCATTTAGATCATGTAGTTTTTTTTATGTGATTATATTGTAAGTTCTTCAATTCAGCTTTATTTGTATAGCGCTTTTACAATGTGGATTGTGTCAAAGCAGCTTCACATAAATGGTCATAGTAACTGGATCAGTGTGGTTCAGGTTTTAGTGTTTAAGTTCAGTTCAGTTTAGCTCAGTTCAGTGTGATTTAATCATTACTGAGAGTTCAAACACTGAAGAGCAAATTCATCGATGCGTAGCTCTACCAATCCTGAACCATGCGAGGCAGTGGCGACAGTGGAGGGGGAAAAAAAACTTCACCTGATGGGAGTGAAGAAAAAAACCTTGAGAGAACCAGACTCAGTTGGGCACGGCCATTTTAATTTCTCCGCTGGCCAAAAGTCTTGTGCAGAACTTCATTCGCCGTGGTTTAGGCTGGAAGATGGCCTCAATGAAGACTCGTCTGTCCCTGGAGCGTCGCTGGAATCAGACTCATGTTCTCCACTCCCCACGACCATCAGCGCAGCAGCAGCTCAGGATATGGCCTGGCCATGGATATGGAAACCTTGGGATCATCTCGTCGCTGGTCTTGGATCCAATCAGTGACTCTGCATAATCTGAGGACCTCGGGATGAGTATCCCCAGGTGAAAATAGAGAATAAAGAGAATAATTAGCGTAGCTGCTGTTCATAGTGTATATAAGCAAGATGCAGAAGCCTGTGTGGAACCCGCTAGGTGATGCATTGAGTGTATGCTTTACTAAACAGATCGGTCTTTAATCTAGTGTTGAACTGGGAGAGTGTGTCTGAGCCTCGGACATTATCAGGAAGGCTATTCCAGAGTGTAGGAGCCATGAAAGAGAAGGCTCAACCTCCCTTACTCGACTTTGCTTTTCTGGGCACTACCAGAAGCCCTGAGTTTTGAGATCTTAAAGAGCGAGTTGGTTCGTAGCGAGACAGAAGGTTGGTTAGATAAACAGGATTATTTAGAGCTTTATAGGTGAGAAGTAATATTTTAAATTCAATACGAAACTAGTTGTCTATTTTCTTTATTATTACTAGCCATTTTATTTGTTGCTTTGACTGATTATTGTTCTATTGGTTTTGTTTATAATATTAATAATAATTGCCATGAATATATATTTGTGTTTGATCTCTCTTTTACGTTGCAACACATTGTGTGTTCTCACCAGTGTACATGAGCAGACCTCAGATTGTAAGAGTGGAGTGAATCTAGGGCCATATAAACTTGCAATATAAGATAAAACTTTGCAAACAACAAATAGAGCAAAAAAATGAAAAGAAAAAAAATCACAAAGAGACTTTTGCAAACAAAAATATACAGTGTTTCCTCTAGGATATTTTTCAGCAGGGGTTATTTCAATGGCAAATGTCGAGATCACA